TCGCACCTTACATCTACCAATGACAAATGATAAGAAAAGTGCTTTTCTCCAGTTCTTTGTTCTCATGTGAAGAAATGAAAAAGAGATCGGTTTGAACCTGGTGTTGATTATTGTATGGGATATTCAGCTATCATGTATTTCAAGGAGAAAGGCAGCAACAGGGGGTATGGTCGATTCCTGTATAACGAGATCAAAATACCGTGGCATCCTTATAATTCGCAGGTCATGGACTTACTACCCATTTCTCGACTGGTTGCGCCAAAGCAACTTGATGTTAAGTCGTTGCTCAAAGGAATTCACGGTTAAGACAAAGGTTGTCCCTTAAGAAGATTCAAACTCGGTATCTTAAGAGTTCAAATCGCACCTTTTTGCCATTGTAAACAATGGTTCACCATGCTTCAAGTCACACAGATGTCAAACAGACGCCATGCGCTTGCTGGCGGTGGTGTGCCATCAATACCGCGAAGCCCTCGCGTAAAGTACGTTTCTTCCTGTTAAGAGGCTTTGAGGTACTACAATTGAAACGCAGAAGTTTTGATTTGCCGGAAAACACGTTTTGGGAAAAACAGTTTAATATTTGGAATCGGAACAAAAATATTCAGCAAATGTAACGAAGGAGTAAACATCATACCGTCTGGTTAAGCGATATGTTAATAACGAAAGTAAGAGTTCTGCATATGATAAAGTTTGTCAATTGGGTTGGACGATTCCGAGAGGTCAGCGTCACTACGTTCGACCAGCGACTTGCTTCCTGATTCGTTCCCGCTGTGAGCATGGTTTGACAGTTCGTCACCGGAAGTATCTATGAGGATCATGTTCGAGAAACAGGCATCAATCGCGATTGTCGTACCGTTAACTGTGGAACACGAGAACACATCGTTATCCGTATCGTGACCGTTGGTCGAGTAAGGACTGGACTCTTTGCTGATACTTTTCTCTGTCTGAGTTTTCTTAGTATCGCTCTCTTCGTCCGCCGTTTGGCTTCCGTTCGTCTTACCGTTTTCCTGTTTGCGATGGAGTTTCTTTAACTACGAAATTCAACAATATTACAGAGTCGTTGCATGAACATCACCGCAAAAGAAGGTCGTACTTTGGCGCGCTGGTTCTGAAACCAAACTTGAACAACTCTGACACTAAGGCCAGTCTCCTTGGCTAAAGCTTCCCTCGCCTAAAAAAGTTAAGTGAATTGTTTGTTCGGTTTTCGCGCTTCGGCATACTTTGCGGCACGGCTTGGCAGTTATCTCAAACGAGGCCTTGAAAGCTTTCCTCTGGTGACTGGTAAGTATGGTTCGCGGACGTTTCACTGCTTTCCTGTGTTCACCTTGATACTTCATTAATTTTAAGTCTGAAGAGTCATGTCGGCGATTAGGGAAGGAGAGAAAAGCGGGCGACCATCAACAATTTGGAAAACAGCACTTACCCTCACAATCGTGCGAACTGAAAGATCGTTTTTACCTGAGTTGCATGCGTGTTGCATCATGAGTTCAAAATCGCCGAGGCACACAATCTGTCCGTCGTGTACAACATACTCTTCTCGAGGTTGCAGAATGTGACCGCAATAATAGCAGCAAAAACAGTTTGCGTGATAAATCTTGTCCACGGCGCGATGCACCATATCATCAGGGTTAAGTGGAAGAATGCACATGGCGCATTTCACAGAATATATCCTGCAAATAAAAAAGGTTTTCGGACAACAGTTAAGAAGGCCACTTTATTTGGAAAGAGACAACTTGCAATTTATTGAGATTCCATAACACAGCGGAACATTGACGAATCGAGCTTTTCGGAAAGGGCAAAAGCTGGAACATTGTAGTTTGAATAATTTTCATCTTTACTTGGCATGGTATATTAAATAATGATTGAATTTTCGAAGACCAGGTTTAACGGAGTATTGCATCGTTCCCTTGTTCCTAGTTCTCTGAGGGGTGGTAGGGGAATTATCTAGGAAATCTGGTCTTGGAAGATTCATTCGCTATCTGACCTACTTGAGCATATGGTGTTTATGCGGTATATTATCTGAATGGCATTGTTATGAATGTTTCTCATGTGATGGTCAAAATAAGAAACTAGTCACCGAATTTGCATTTATGAAAATAAAAGATAAAGGTGCGCAATTCACTAAAATTAGTAAATTAACTCTTGTTTACGTGAAAATGGCTGGCTCCTCAGAAAACATTATCAATCTGCCTAAGTGATGAAACGGATAAATTCAGACCCTTTGATTAAACAGGATTGTGCGTATCTGCATTTTAACAGATTTAGTTAGAAGCAACTGCAGGCAAGTCAATTCGAAAATTTAAGGCTCAAAAGTCAAAATCTGGCTGTGAGCTGGAATAACTACGAAGCAACGTTCTATTTAGTCACACAGGTTGGTTCATGAATTGTTTGTAAACCAAGACGTCAGTCGCCATTTGATAGAATTCTTCGTGACGCAGAACTACTTGGTGTCAATGAGTAACTGATTATGAATATTTCAAAATGTAGCAATTTTTTTATAATGCTATCGTTTAACCCATTGAGTTGCTGAATGGTTCATTTCCACCATACGTTTAAAAATATGCTCACAAATTTTCCTTCATCGTTTAACAATTAGTATAAGTTGGTCATAAAATCAAAGAAGTAAGTTTCTAGCATAGCTAACACTACAAGAATCTTTTCTAAAGACATTAGCATGAAATTTATAATTTATGTCCACTCCACGGAGCTAAACAAGTTATTTACCAATAATCAAATGATTTTATAATTAATCCTAATTCAGTCTCTTCTTCTTCAATAGAAATGACTGTTCAGTTGTTCTAAACATGTGGAATACACAGATGGCAAATTTTTTGTTAGAACTGCGGACGTTTCAGCCAAACTGCTTTGGCCATTCTAATGATGGATGCAGTCTCCAAAGGGTGACCAATTATCCGTTTTGCTGAAACGTCGGCTGAAGTTCTGTTAACTTTTTCTTTAATAACTTTTCTATTCCTTATGCTTAGAACATTTTTAAAAAGTTTTTATCATTAAGCACGATCAAGAACCTAACGACAACGAAGAAAAGGGAGACGTGGTTGAAGAGGAAGAAGGGAAATAACGCAAGTACAATATATCCTCAATTTAACGGACCCCAATTTAACGAACTTCAGATTTAACAATCAAAAATTTTTGTTCTGCTACATATACTTTCTCTTTACTCTTCGATTGCTGTTTGGTTAATACTTATGCACTATCTCAGCGAATTTCGGTAAAACATCGAATTTGCTTTGATTCAGATTGACGACTTCGTTGAAAAAGTCAGATTGTACATACGCGCAGCTGCTACTGCGCACGAAACTATATTCACCCAATACCTGCATGGTGTTTGATACCAACCTATCATATTTAAATGTTGTGTGTTCGACAGGCAGTGAGATGCATTGCAATAATATTATTGTTATCCATTAAAATAATCCATTTTCCTGAATACGCAATTATTAAAACAACATCACTACTAAAATAGGATCTCTCTTAACAGAAGTCCTGGGGAGTTTTCAAGCTTCTAAGACTGTGAAATTAAAACATTTTTAAATGATTTTTAATTTTCCTGTTTCTCATAAAATAGATGTGAACTCTTTGGATACAAAATATTTTAATAGCATATATACACCTCAGAAAGAATATAGATAAATAGATATACTTGCATGGAGGCTGTCAGAAGTTTTACAGAACATCGGAATTAATTTGTAAATTTAAACAATGCTAAGGCTAAATTAAATAAGTTTTAAAAAATTATTTTTATAATTGAATCATAAGCTAAAGGCGTCATACAAAAATAATATGTATGTC